AGCCATTGAAGCCAGGTCAAGTGGGTATTATCTGCAAGTGTGGGTGTTCTTATGTATATGCCCTCTCTTCTTATCAGTTGGGTGCTTCATTCTCTACTCTAGTCCTCTGTGGCTATGTCACTGTCTCTGGGCCCAGGAGTCCCCAGGTCTTGCCATATTGCTGGTCAACCAGGTCTCTACCCGGATTCAAAGGAGACTATTGAACATGTTGGACTTAGCTCACAGCTTCATTGCTGTTTTTCCCTCATTTCCCCTTATTGGTGACCAATGTGGTCACCAGTCAGAGCACATGTCTGCTGGTGTATTCCTCTTGAGTCTTAGTCTTAGAAGGGGGTTTGCCCTGAGGGGACCTGACCACTTGCCTTGATGTCTCCTGGGCAAACAACTTGCTTGTTCTTGTATTTAAGCAGCCTTTTGAGCAAATAGATTTTAGTTTTGAGCAATTAGAACTGACACTGTGTACTATTCTGAGAGGTTGGTCAATGGAGGAAGCAGTATTTTTAGTAATTTTCTTAGGAAGAGAAGAACAGCATTCTGGAACAGTAAATCATAAGAAATTGTCCCGTTTACTCTGAATCTCGAAGACAATTCAAAAATGGTTGTGCAAATACAGTGACATAGATATGCCAGAAATTAAAGTCAGATTCAGAAGAGGATGTAGAATAAGGAATATCATTGCTGATGTTAAATGTATGTTGGCTGAAAGCAGAGAATATCATAAAGTTGTTTACTTGTATTTTATTGACTATGCAAACACATTTGACTGCATGTATCATAACAGATTATGGATAATATTTCAAAGAATTGGGTTTCCAGGATTCTTAATTGTGTGGAATATGTACATAAGCAGTCTTTTGAACAGATCAAGGAAATAATGCATGGTCTAAAATCAGTAAAGATGCACGTCAGGGTTGTATTCTTTTGCCATACTTAGTCAATCTGCATGATGAGCAAATAATCTGAGGAACTGGATTATATAAAGAAAAACATGGCACCAGGATTAGAGGAAGACTCATCAACAACCTGCGATAGTAAAGAAGACTTGAAGCACTTCCTGATGGAGATCAGAGACTACAGTCTTCAGGATGGATGATACCTCAACACAAAGAAAATAAAATCTGTGCAACTGAACCAATAAGCAACATCATGACAAATGGAGAAAAGACTGAAGTTGTCAAGGATTTCATTTTACTTGGGTCCACAACCAATGCCCATAGAAGACTCAATGAAGAAATCAAACCATATAGTGACTGGGCAAATCTGCTGTAAAAGACCTCTTGAAAGTGTGAAAGAGCAAAGATGTCACTTTGAGGAATAAGATGTGACTGACACCACAAGCCATGATATTTTCCATCTCCTCTTATGCATGGGGTAGCTAGCCAATGAATAAAGAAGACCAGAGAAGAATTGATGCATTTGAGCTATGGTGTTTGCAAAGAATATTAAATATACCACGGATTGTCAGGTGACTAAACAAATCTGTCTTGGAAGAAGTACAGCCAGAATGCTCCATAGAATTAAGGATAGTGAGAATGCATCACATGTACTTTGAACATTATCAGGAGGGACCAGTCCCTGGAGAAAGACATCAAGGTTGGTACGGTAGAGAGTCAGTTTTCAGGAAGACTCTCAACCAGATGGATTGGTGTAGTGGCTACAACAATTAGTTCAAACATAATGACAATTGTGAAGATAATGCAAGACTGGGCAGGGTTTCATTCTGTTGTCCATAGGATTAGAACCAAGTTGATAGCACATAACAACATAGTACCAAACCATTATTTCATTGAAAATGAAATCCACTTTAAGAAGTCCAGTGGTTCACCCCTTAGTGGCAGATTTCTTTCTTAATCCTTTTTCTCCTTTAAGTATATTTTCTATGCACTATTGCTAATTGGTAATAATTACTTTTTAAAATATCTTGATGTTTTCAGAAAGTTTCTTCCTCTAATTAGTTCATCTGTTTTCACAGCTGCCAATTTTTTCTTAAAATTAAGCAATAGTTCTTGCAAACCCTGGTATTTTTATAGTTATGACATCATTATGTCCAAGATCTAAGTGAATTCTAAAATATTGCAGATAACTGGTTAGTAAGTAAGTAGAGCTAGAAGTTGTTGTTGTTGTTGTTGTTAAGCGCTCTCCCATTGGTTCCAACTCATAGTTGCCCTGTATAGGGTTTCCGAGGAGCAATTGGTGGGTTTGAACAGTTGATCTTGAAGTTAGCAGTCCAGTGCTGATCAAAGGCATTTAATTTAGAAAGAAGATGCTGTGAAATCAGCTGAGAAGTATAGGAGTTGGACAGATGAATTTCAAGATATTAGCTTTACAGTTGCTAAGCTCAGACTTGGATAGTGTAACTCAGACATGTGGTCTTAATGGGCATGGTAACAGGTCAGCCCTGAACTGAAGTTGCCTACCCTGCTACTGGCACAGCAGACAACTGCCAAGCGCCCAGCTGGGACACTTTCTAGGCAAAGAGTAGACCAGGGAGCACGTATGTGGAGCCCAACACTGGAGAACACTGGGTAGACAGTGACAGCTTCTTTATCTGGCTTATGGAGTTGCTGAGCAGGTCAAATTAGATAATACAGATGAAAATGTTTTATTGTGCTATAGAATACAATGTATTGTAGACCAATAACCTCATTAAAAAATTAAGATGGAACTAAAACCATTATTTTGGGCTTATAAAAGACAGGCAGGCTAGCCTTGAATCCAAACTTGAAATTCTTTCATGAAAATGATCAAACTTGACTACAATATGAGCAAACTACAGCCTCGGAAACCCTGTACAGGGTTGCTATGAGTTGGAACCGACTCCACGGCACATAACCACCACCACCACCAAATCTCATTTGGAGTCCTGGTGTGGCACTGTGGGTTAATGCACTGGACTGCAAAGTAGGTTTGACCTGCAAGGACGGCAGTTCAAGCTCACCAGCCACTCTTTGGAAAATCTATACAGGGTCAATATGGATTGGAACCGGCTCAGCGGCACACAACAACAACATATCCCAATTTAGGACTCTTGGTGTGGCACTGTAGGATCAGCTCTGGACTGCAAACCACAAGGTCAGCAGTTCAAACCCACCAGCTGCTCCTCAGAAACTCTATAAAGGGTCACTACGAGTCACAAGGAGCCCTGGTGTAGTGCTGCAGGTTAATGTGCTGGACTGCAAAGTTGGTTTATATTGTAAGATCGGCAGTTCAAGCTCACCAGCTGCTCCTTGGAAATCCAATACAAGGCCGCTATGAATCGACTTGAATGCACTTTAACAACGAGTCAGAACCGATTTGATGGCACTTGACAAGAGCAAATATCCCATTACCCTCATTGTGAGTCCAGAATTTATCTGTACAAACCAGTATCACACCAATTTAATTATTGATCAGGACTTACTTAAATAGCAAATATATCCATCATTTTCATTATACCCAGTGTTGTGCTTCACTTTACAGTTCAGCTCTTGGGATAGTTTATTCAGCAGAGTGCCTGTGATGTGCCAGATACTCAAGAGGCAGTAGGTACAAAGCAGACAGGGGCCTGGTCTCTCGAAGCTTGCACTAAATTCTAATGGGAGAGAGATGGAGGATACACAAATACATAAGGAAGAAAATGCCAGTGGGTCAGGGAATGAAAACTGTTGCAAAAAAAAAAAAAAAAGGAGAATGACATGATAATGGGAGTCTCCAAGGAGCCCTGGTGACTCAATGATTCAGTGCTTGGCTGCTAACCAAAAGACTGGCAATTCAAACCCACCTGCCATTCCACGGTTGAAAAGATCTGGTCATCTGCTGCCATATCTTACCAAATCACTATGAGTTGGAATTGACTCGACAGCACACAACAACAACAGGGTGAGCAAATGTTTAGCCAGTTCAGCTGCAGTTTGTATCCACTCAGAGAAACCTGGGAAGAAAGGCCTGGTGATGTGCTTTCAAAACATCAACCACTGGAAACCTATGGAGCACAGTTCTACTGTGACACACGTAGGGTCACATGATTTGGGATCAGCTCAACATCAACTGGTTTTTATTTGTAACAGAATGGAGTTGGCTGTCCCTTCATTCTTTTAATTCTACCCCATTCTCACTGTTGAAAAAGGATGGGGTTCTCCATCCTTTAGATAACTTGTAAGAGGGTAAATCAAAACGTATTGCTACAAAATTATTTTGTTGTTGTTTTGTGATGTGCCGTGGATGCGGTTCCGACTCATAGCAACCCTGTACAGGGTTTCCGAGGCTGTAAATCTTTACGGGAGCAGAGAGCCTCATCTTTCTCCCGCAGAACAGCAGGTAGTTTCAAACTGCTGACCTGTGGGTTGCAGCCCGATTCATAACCACTACGCTACCAGAGTTCCTTACAAAATTATAGAAACCTTTATTAAACAAAAATGTGAAGTTATTGTTTCTTGGCATGTTCTCCTTCTAGGTCTATGAAAGCAGTGTTTCCTTCTCTCTAACCCTTCCCCAAAGAATTCTATGCTGTTCAATGTTCAATTGATACCATGTCAAAACAGTAGTTTTGTGTTCCTTTCAAAGGTTCTTTAAATTTGGGAACAAAAGAAATCTGAAGGTGCAAGACCAGGGTTATAGGGTGGATGGGGTAAGGATTTCTAGCAAAATTCTCATTGGGCAACCTTTGCTACCTTCAAAGACTGAGCAGGTGCATTGTTATGATGAAAATTCTTTGGTGCAACTTCAGTGGCCTTTTTCTCATCAATTCAATTTTCCATTTTCTTAACATTTCTTCATAATAAACCCCCATGATTCTCTTGTGCCCTTCAAGAAAATCTATCAAGATTATCCTTTTGAAATTTCCCCCAAACAGTTGCCATAACCTTCTGAGATGATCATTCTGTTTTGAATTTAACTGCCGCAGCAGATGCTCTCAGAAGCCACTGTTTTAATTGAACCTTGCTCTCTGGATCAAACTGGTAAATCCAAGACTCATTACTGTTTATGATTTGTTCTATAAAACCATCTTCATTAGTATCTATCTTGCTTAAAAGATTGGTGAAAAGATCACTTCTTTGAACTAACTGATCTTCAAACAATAATTTTGGCACCCATCAATCCAAAAGCTTACTGAGACCAACATGTTTGCTTGAAGTTGAATGCTGCACCATGTGAGATCCCAACTCAAGTAGCTGTTGCATCAGTGATCATTCTACGGTTTTCTCTCTGTTGCCGTATCTCCAAGGTCTTCTCGATCATTCCTTAAAATATTTATCCATCTAGAAACTGTTAGGTTTTAAGTGGGGCAGCATTCCCATAAACTCATTGCAAAGCTTCATTTATATAGATTGATGTCCACTTGAGTTTTGTTAAAAATTTGATTTTTAGCCCTGACCTTAAAATTGATTTTCCCATGACACAAAAAGTATCCCACATCCCTTTTTTTGGTTTATTTCTGAAAACACCAAAAGAGAAGTGTATTATTGCGGGAACTTGTCTGCAGGTATCCAATGGTCAAAGAGGTATGTTTAAACACATTTTGTCTGGAATAAACACATGTTTATATGATCTGAAACTCTAGTAGCAATATGGTATTTTTAAAAATACAACAACAACTTTTTATTATGAATTGGGTGAAGGTTTACAGAGCAGATCATCAGTTTTTTTTTTTTTTCAAGGCTTGTGAAGGGGGGGATTTAATGAGATTATATCAATTTACAGTAATGTTATAACACCTCCCATCACAAAGCAAAAAATACACCTCCTTACCCCACATGTCCTCCTCCCCACTTCCTCACTCCTACTCCACGTATATACTCCTTCCGGCACTAGTCACACTATGGAGGACACCACTGTACACAGTTCTTAACCTCTTCCCAGGTGGCCTCTCAGCAGCATTCCAAGTGCTGCTCATCAGTGCCTCCTGAGAACATCGTTGTCCTGACCTCTGGGATTTCATCTTACCTCAGTGACTGATCCTTCCCAGTTTGCTCTGCTGTTCCTTCTTTTCAGGCCCTCTGAATGTTGAAATGACCTGAGCTCTGTTTGGAACCTCTTTGCTCCCTTAAGAAACAAAAACAAGAACAAACCCACTGCATGCAAGTCAATTCCAACTCATAGTGACCTCATGTGTAGCAGAGTTTTCATGGCTGTGATCTTTTATGGACGTAGATCACCAGGCCTTTCTTTCACACATTGATGGGTGGGTTTCCAACTGCCAACCTTCACATTTGCAGCTGATCACAAACCACTTGTGCCGTCAAGGCTCTTACAGATCTTATCCAGATCATCAGTTTTAAAGTTAACATTTCATCTCACCATATTGTTTGCAATCCTTCTGATACATTATCATTTATCCCACTTCCTCCCTGTATTTACTGTTTCCATTGATCCCTCGTCCATTCCTAACTCTTGTGAACTTTGTCCTTGGGTAAATACTGCCACCCCTTGGTATCCAATGGTTAATGATTCTACAGTGTGTCACTGTTCCCCTCATAGACCTGTCCGTTGCCTGACTGAAAACTGAGCTGTGGGGACAGTTCAGTTCCAGATCTGAACGGTGACCAAGGACCCTAGTCTCATCGGTTCTACAACTCTTATCTAGCCAATAAACTTGGTCTTTTTTCTTTTATGAGTTTGAGTTTTGTTCCACATTTTTCTCCCACGTGATCCAGCACCTTCTAATGTGATCTCTTTCAGAGCAGTTGGTAGTGGTAGGTGGACAGCATATAGTTCTTCTGGTCTTACGGTCATGGAGATAGAGGTTCACATGGTTCATTACTCCATTGGACTAATTGTTTCCATGTATCTTGGATTTTCATCACTCTTCTTTCTTCCTGACAGGAAGAGACCAATAGCTGCACCTCATATGGCTTCTTATGAGCTTTTAAGACCACAGTAGAGTAGCAATACCTTTGTTGTTTTTTGTTTGTTTGTTTTGAAATATGTTTTTATTTACCCCTATATCCAATCCATCCTAACCTCCCGATACACAGAAAGTCTTTAATAATGAGTCACAGTTACGCTGTAAGAGACATTTACATTCACAGAACAGGAGTTGTAGGTGTTCCATTCTGAAGCATGTGAGGTGTAGGCAAACAGAAGCAGCAACACAGATAAATTGCTTTGATGGGCTGCCTTAGGCTGGGTTTTCACATATATAGGCTATATAAAGAGAGAGAGAAGTTTATTATCAAGGAAATGGCTCACAATTGTAGAGTCCCAGTTCCCCAGCGGAAGAGAGAGAGAGAGAAGGGGAGTCCCTCCCTCATGTACATTATATTGGGAGTAAGCCACACCCCCACAGAAGCATCCCTTTAATTGATTGGCTGCTCATAGCCACTAATCAGCATTAACTATGCCTGTATTAGGTTTCATCACCAGGGAAATAAGCACATCCCAACTGCTAACCCTCTGGCCTAGTCAAGTTGACACAGAACCCTAACCATTACACCAGAACTCTGGAGAAAAAGGAAAGCATGAAAAAGATCAAGGATAAAGGAGCAAGTCCAGGAAAGAAACTGAGAAGTCACCCAGCATCAGCACTGACCTGAAGGTGATTTGAAAAGAGTCATCAAGGCATGTTATATGAGCCTGTGGTTTTCAGGCAAGTTATTGATTCCCAGTAAGACTGGGCTGGCCCTGTAAGTTTATCCAACCCACTTCAGGTTATATATAGCTGGGTTACATAGTCATCTCTTCAGTGATACTTGTTGAGTACCTATCATTTTCAGGCACGATTGGATGCCCTTGACTCTCTTTTCTACTAACTCAAAATTCTCTTTGGATGATTTTACTCAGAACCACAGAAACACATAGCCAACTGTTTGCTGGATCTCTGTCAGTTTCTTTCTCTCTCTATGTTACCTGCAGGGATTTTAGATTCAACAATGCCCGTTACAGTTTTTGCTTCTCAAGCTTGCCCTGCCATGATCTCCCTCTTACCAGATCCAGAAATTTGAGAATCATCCTGGACTTCTCTCTCCTTCAGTTGATGGTAAACCCAGGCAGACTGCCAATGTATCTGGGCCCATGATAAAGACCCATGGGAATTAATAGCTTTGGAAGTACTGAGCTTTATTATTGAGTTTTCAAAAGCATGTAAAAATCAGTAGACCATCATAGCAAATATGTAAAATTATACATAATTTGGTTTTAGGGCTCTATGATAACAGGATGAGTAAAACGCCCTAAGTGTTTGCTGGTTAACTATATCCTTTCCCAAAGTCCTATGGAGGGATAGGAGTCCGGATGTGGATAATGCACTGGACCATAAGGGTTGGTTTGAACTGTTATGTTGACGGTTCAAATTCAGCAACCGCTCCTTGGAAATCCTATACAAGGTTGCTATGAGTTGGATCTGATTCAATGGCACTTAACAACAACAACAACAACAACAAGGGAATAAATCATTCTATCAATTGTGAATGTTGTTGTTAGGTGTCATCGAGTCAGTACCAAGTCATAGCAATCCTATGCACAGCAGAATGAAACACTGCCCGATCCTGGGCCAACCTCACTATTGTTGCCACGCTTGAGTCCATCGATGCTGCCACTTGGCCAATCCATTTCATTGGGGGTCTTCCTCTTTTTCTCTGACCCTCCACCCTATCAAACATGATATCCTTCTCCAGCCACTGGTCCCTCCTGACAATATGTCCAAAGTATGAGAGATGAAGTTTGGCCATCCTGGCCTCCAAGGAGCACTCTGGCTGAACTTCTTCCAACACAGATCTATTTGTTCTTTTGGCAGCCCATGGCACTTTGAATAGGAGCATATAAATAATATCAGCATTTATCTCTTCACTTGTTAAATTTATTCCAAGCAAATCAGAATTTCTTTTG